CGCCTCGTGTTTTACACCCGATAAAACACTCCTGCTCGTTTATTAAACAGTACATATATGTATTAGTTTTTTTATTTTTTTATTTTTTTAGAAATTAATTATTATGGGATATTATTTTAACTTAATGTAAATTTATACTTGAATAAACTATTTTTAAATATACTTATAAGATAGGTATTTATTTATTTCAATACGTTAGTGATACATAATTGTAAATTTTCATTCATTTATTCATTTATTTTTTATTATAATTGTTAAGCACTATTGGTTTTTTATGGAAATAGGGATATATAAATAAATAAAGTTATTATTATTATTATTTCAGATTGTCAGACACAAGAGAGCCAATTGAGGTAGTTTGTGATCTATTCGAGAGATAAGTGTAAAAAGACTGCAGAAGTAAATAGTTTATTATCCAAGTTGGAGTGAATTTGATTAATGATATCCAAAATAGCATGATGTGTGGCACTATGACTTTTCCTAAAACCATATTGATTACTGGATAGTAGAACAAATTTTTGATAAAATTTGGTAGCCTAGTATCAAACAGTCTATTAAAAATTGATAGCAAAGATATTGGACAGTAATTACCAGGCTCTGTATCATCATCATCTTTATAGATGGGAATTAGTTTAGCAATTTTAAGTTTAGCAGGATATCTTCCTTGTTTGTACAGATAAATTCATTAACTTTACCAAGTGTTCACTAATAACATACCGCGATGCTGGCAAGAAGGTAGGTATTAAGTTGATTTCATTGTCTTCTATTATTGTAACGGGGGTAAAGAAGAAAGATTCAGACTGGGGAACATTATCGGCAAGTTTTTTACCTATTGTTGCGAAGAAACTATTCATGATGTTAGGTAATTTTGAAGGATTAGTTGTTACTTCATCATTAATAGATGGATCTTTAAGAGCCGATATTTGATATTTGCCCTCTTTGGCATGCAGTAAAGAATTAATTGTAGCCCAAGTTTTTCTTGTATTGTTTTGGTTTTTCTTGAAAAGGTTATAATAATATTGAATCTTACTTAATCAAATAAGAGATGTTAATCTATTTCTGTAGTAAACATATTTTCCCCTGTTACCATTGATGACTAGTTGGTTTTTGACTTTAATTGACTCACGAATGCCTTGAGTGATCCATAGCTTAGAAAAAGATATCTCATACTCATTAATGATTCATGAGTAAACCAGCCAATCAATGGGCTATTTTGGGTCACATGATGTTACTTGAAACCTGGTAAAGTCATGTAAAAGGACTGAATTCAGTCTGTAGTAACTGGAACAAAATTAATTCAGTCCTAGGACTGAATTAATATTGTTCCAGCTACTCCAAGTCGAATAATAATGAGCACGAGAAGTCATTTCAAAGCCTCCAATATTGGACTGGACGGGATTTCAAGTCCGCGCAATTAGTTACAGTCCGAGGCGGATCCCGTCCAGTCCTCGTTGTCGGCTTTGAAATATTACTTCAATCTACGTTTAGAAACAGCAGAGATTGGGGCAACTTTGTTAGCAATATTATTTATCACATACTGATCAACATTTTGCGCTGGTCGATCATGAGAGAACAGTATTTAGATCAATACTTGAAAGGTCTCTAAGAAAGTTCTTCTCTGCGTGCCTTCAAAAAAAACCTAATTTGCGTCCTGTGGGGTAGTTGAATTTTATGTTGCTGGAATTATGCCAAATTGAGAAAAGTGGTCGCTTATATCAGATACGACGTTACCGCTAAAAATATGGCGGTCTAATTGATTAATAAAAATAGATAGATCATGACTGTAATTACTCCTTTAATCCTTTCAAGGTGATGCAATGCTAAGACAAATAACTGAGTCTGTTAAAATTAGCAGAGAAGAAAAAGATAAAATAGTAAATAACATAACAGAATGGAACTTTATGAAGATCCCTAGAACAGTTATAATGTAAATTTTCTTTCTTCTTTTTCATTTAACAGCGCGCGAAAGTTTACAGCGCGCGCTCTCGTTCATCATGATTATAAACAGTATATCGCAACGTAATCATTCAGTTAGATTCAGTTAGGTTGATAAGGTCCTAATAAACGGACGAAACTAGTCCCTAAACTGCCATTGTGTTGTTGTTAGTGCGTGGCGGATTATAAAAATCACCATAGAGTGTGTATAGATATGAAGATAAGCAAGTCCTTCAATGTCTCGATTGAAAAATTATCAAGAAAAACACAACACTTTTAAAACCCTAATTGGCATTACACCTCAGGGAAGTATTTTATTTTTGTCGCACGCGTGGGGTGGAAGAACTTCCGATCAGTTTATAACCAAACCATTGTGGAATACTGAAAAACCTGATGCCTGGAGATTTGGTGATGGCTGACCGTGACTTCACAATTCAGGAAAGCCTCATGGTTCACAGAGCTGAACTTGCCATTCCAACCTTCACTAAAGCAAAGGATCAGCTAGACCCCATTGATGTTGAGCGTACCCGTGGCATTGCTAATGTCAGGATTCACGTAGAAAGAGTAATTGGGCTACTCATGCAGGAGGAAATATACAATTCTGTCAGCTGGTGTTTTGCCTATCGAATTCCTCCAAAGTGACCCCCAAGGGCGGATCCAGGGTTTTTTTGAAGGGGGGGGGGGGGGGGG